GCCCTCCCAATGACCCTACCAAGTTTTTAATATTTTCTTTATTTAGAAGGATATATGAGTTTTCAGAGATATGAAGTGATTTCCCCAAAGTTGTATAGCAACTGAAAGCCAAACTGCTACTGGGACCCAGGTCTTCTACTTCTGTTTCCTCTAGAAGAATTGTTTATTTATGATGAAGATTATATAATTTCATTTCCTAGAATAGTCCATTTCATTGTCTGAAGTGTCCACTCTTTTGTATCAGAGTATCTAGGAAACCAAATTAGTACAAAAAAGTAAACATTATTGTTATATTTTTAAATAGTGTGTTTAGACTTAGCCTTCCCTTAATCATTCTCTTTATTTAACATTAGTTCTTGCACCTCAGGTCCTTTTTCCTAAATTAAATCTTATGGGAGTTCTTTCAGTAAGGATCTGTAGTAACCACTTATTTAGTCTGTCTGAAAATTTTTTTTTTTTAATTTTTTATCATGTTAATCACCATACATTACAGCATTAGTTTTTGATGTAGTGTTCCATGATTCATTTTTGTGTATAACACCCAGTGCTCCATGCAGAACGTGCCCTCTTTAATACCCATCACCAGGCTACCCATCCTCCCACCCCTCTCTCCTCTAGAACCCTTAGTTTGTTTTTCAGAGTCTATCATCTCTCATGGTTCATCTCCCCCTCTGACTTCCCTCCCCTTCATTCTTCCCCTCCTGCTATCTTCTTCTTCTTCTTTTTTTAAACATATATTGTATTATTTGTTTCAGAGGTACAGATCTGTGATTCAGCAGTCTTGCACAATTCACAGTGCTCACCATAGCACATACCCTCCCCAGTGTCTATCCCTCCCACCCCATCCCTCCCACCCCCCACCACTCCAGCAACCCTCAGTTGGTATACACACACACACACACACACACACACACACACACACACTGGAATATTATGCAGCCATCAAAAGGAATGAGATCTTGCCATTTGCAACGACATGGATGGAACTGGAGGGTGTTATGCTGAGTGAAATAAGTCAGAGAAAGACATGTACCATATGACGTCACTGATATGAGGAATTCTTAATGTCTGAAAATGTTTTTATTTTGCTTTCATTCTTAGAGGATAGTTTGCCTGGATATAGAATGCTAGATTGGTGTTATTTTCTTTTGACACATGAAGGTACTTTCTTCTGGCTTTATTGTTTTTGTTGAGAAGTCAGCTGTTGATCTAATAATTATTTTAAGATAATTAGTTTTTTCTCTTGGGATGTTTTTAAGATATTCTCTTTATCTTAGGTTTTCTCTAGTTTCACTGTAATATGTTCACAGTGTGTTCTTCTCACTTACCTTGCTTGGTATTCCTAGAATTGAGTATTAGTATCTCATCAGTCCTGGAAAGTTTTTAGCCATTGAATTACTTATCCCCATCCTCTCCTAGAACTCTGATTAGACATATGTTGAGTCTTATTCTGTCCTGTCTTTCACATTTTCAATCTTTTGTTTCTTTAAATTGCATTATGTACTTAAAAAAAAAAATCCACCATCCAGTTCAATACTTGTTTTTCCAGCTCTGTCTTACCTGTTATTAAGCCTTTCCATTTAAAACATTATGTTTTCCATTTCTAGAAGTGCTGTCTAGTTCATTTTCAAATCTGGCCAATTTTGATTCTCCTCTTCTTTAGTTACATTTGATATCCTATTTTAGTTCTTTCATCTTATGATCATATGTATTTTATATTCTGTAGCTGATCAGATGATGTGAAGTTTTAATAGGTTTTATTCTTTTTTTGTTTCTATGAATTCTTTCTCATGGCTTGTTTTCTTTCATGTTCAGTGATTTCTGATTTTAAATTTGTGTTTCTTAGAGCTTGATCTGTTGGAATTCTCAGAGGCCCAAGTTTAAAGTGTATTTTTTTCACAGGGATTTAGATTTGCTTCTGCTAAACATTTGTATTTGCCTTGGTACCATACAAACCCAGGATCACTTTTTTCTACATTTTTGGCTCAAGATCGGAGGGTTGGGGGAGTACAGAGAGTGTGTAATTTTGGCCCCAAGTCCATGTGAGGGCAGAACTGTGGTTAGAAATTTTAAGGGGGATTGTTATTTTTGCTGCTCTACTCCACTTAGAACTAAGATCGAGATAGACATTTTTAATTTCTCCCTCTCTGCAACACATTTAATTTTTTTATTTAATTAATTAGTTTATTTTTTAGTTTTTATTGTTACTATTTTTTTTTAAAGATTTTATTTATTTATTTGAGAGAGAGAGAATGAGAGAGAGCACATGAGAGGGGGGAGGGGCAGAGGGAGAAGCAGACTCCCTGCTGAGCAGGGAGCCCGATGCGGGACTCGATCCCGGAACTCCAGGATCATGACCTGAGCTGAAGGCAGTCGCTTAACCAACTGAGCCACCCAGGTGCCCAATTGTTACTATTTTTTACTGGGGATGTTGTTCTTTGGGAGTTTTAGATTTTTTTTTTTTTTTTTGAAGTAATCTCTACACCTATCATAGGGCTAGAACTCATGACCCTAAGATCAAGAGTTGCATGCTGTACCTACTGAGTCAGCCAGGTGCCCCTGGGAGTTTTAGATTTTTGCAGGTGTCCTTGATCTACCTTCTCAGCTTGCTTGGGTTTCTTTGTCTCCTTCCCTCCTTCCACTTTCTCCTTGAGTAGCTGGCTAAAGCCCAGGTATTAGTCTGCCAGGATTGGCAGATTCCCTGGAACAGTTTTCTGTTCCAGTACTAAAACCCTCGGTTCATCATAGTTTCTGTCCCCACTTCCCTCCCCCAGGCTCTGAGGAATTCTATTATTTTTCCTTTTCATCCCTGTATTTAAAACATTGTTTAGTTTTTCAGAATATTTAAGGTATGCTATCCCAAGAAGAGTTTTTCTAACATATAGTCCAAAATTTTTTAAGAATGGAAGGAAATCAAATTAGTAATCAGAAAGTTGGTTGAAAAACACAGTGAGAGTAAAAAGAATTATATTATTTCAAGGGATATTTTTCAGAGAATAAAAGAAAAATAAAGTATTTGTGCCCCATAATGAGATTATTTTTTTAAGGAGCTGAATAAATTTCCACAGTTTATTTTCCCTTCTGCACACTGCTATATATTTCTAAATTAATATTTTTATTTCCATTTTTTAAAAAAAATTTATCCATCTGTTCTAGTGAGGGGGATAGTGACAGAGGGAGAGAGAATCTCAAGCAGACTCTGCATGGAGTATGGAGTCCAATGCAGGGCTGGATTTCATAACCCTGAGATTACCACCTGAGCTGAAACCGAGAGTCCAGTGCTCAACCGACTGCGCCACCCAGGTGTCCCTCATTTCCACTTTTATTAATGTCTATACATATTATGACAGTCGAAATTTAAGTCAAATACATTTCAGTCATGCCTTCTTTGAAAATAAATTTAGATCACATTGATCCTCAGTCTCCTTAATAATGCATTTATAAGCCATTTTAGATTGGGTTAATTCTACAATAGAATTTTACTTGATTAACAAAGTTTTTACATTACATATTATTTTATGTTATTTTTACTTTGAATTTAGATTAGAATCCCACAGTAGAGTTCAGTTTTAGTACAAGGGGACAGAATTGCTGTAATGACACTATTCAGTTTAACACACATATGCACACATGCTGAGGACCTAGACATTTATTAAATTCTTGAGAGAAAAAGAAGAAAGTGAAAGAAAACACCTAGTGTTTGTAGATCTCAGAAACCTGCTTCTTTGAAATTTTCCTTCATCTTTTTCAAGGCAGGAACCAATCTCTCCCTGCATTACTCACAAAATCTTCCTTTCCATGCAGTTTTTCCTCCCCATTTACCTTTTGCCTTCAAAACAATTCTTAAATGTCTACATTTTCAAGGTACTTTAGTAGGCATTAGGGATACAGTGATGAAAAAAAAGAGATGTGGTCTACATTTACACTAAACTTATAGTTTAAGAGAAATAGACAATCAGATGACATAATGTAGTGTAAGTGCTATGATGAGGAAAAAATAGATTGATGTGGAATATACAGGAAAAGCACTAGACCTGGGGGCTAGCAATATCTTATTAAATGAAATTATATTCAAGCTGAGCTTTGACATATAGTTCAGTGGTTCTCAAAGTGTACTCCTAGACCCACAGTATCACCTGGGAATTTGTTAGAAATGGTAAGTCTTGGGCCTATCCCAGGCTGCAGAATCAGAAACTGAGAGTAGGGCCCAGAAATCTGGCTTGTCGACTTTTGACAAGCTCTCTAAGGAATTCCAATTCATGCTGAAGATTGAGAACTAGTGGGTGGGTGATAGTGAGTTAGAGGGCTCAGGTTGGATCCCACCAGGCAGAGGGACTTCTGAGATCTCTAGCAACTGAGACTAATGTGAAAAAGTTCAGTATGCCTGAAAGCATAGGGTATAAGATCTGGAGGAGAGTTGGGGTGGACATGAGAAAGTGTGGACGGGAGAGCAGGGAGAAGATCGTGTGGGTTTTGTAAACCATATTAAATTGTTTAGATTTCATTTATCATAAATATTACTTTGTACGTCTGCTTCCTCAAATAGAATGTGAATATCAAGGGTCAGCATCATATTTCTATGCCTCAGAACACCCCTCAACTATTGTTGGCATATAATTGGTGTCTAATAAATGCATGCAATGTATGAATTGGGTGAAGTCAATGGATACTCACAAAACCTCATGAGGCAGGCATTACTGCCTGTTTTATGCTTGAGAACAACCGAGGCTAAGAGAAGGTGAGTGACTTATCAACATAACAAGGTCAAATGGCTATTCAGAAGCAGAGGTGTTTTACAAATCCAAGCATTTGGATTTTGTTCTTAGAATCTCTTCTTTATTCCATAGTAGCTTTCTGTCAGGGAGTGCTGAGATTACAGAGAATATGTACGGATATATAAAATCACAATTTTTTTTTTAACTTGTAAGCATTCCTAATGCAACTGTGCTTCTTTCTCTTTTCTCTTTTTCTTTTTTCTTTTCTTCTTTTTTTTTTTCCAGACAGAAAAGGGGAGTGCACTTCATGAAGCAGCTTTATTTGGAAAGGTGGATGTTGTGAGAGTTCTGTTAGAAACAGGTAACTATCCTGATTCTCCATGGAGCTTATTCTGCCAAATAAAATTTCTATTTCAGGAGTAGACAAAGGGAAATGGCACTTTTTTTTTTTCCATAATCACCCTTTTTATCTTTACTTCACATTGCAAATTTTATTCATATCATGTAGAATTGAGCCTCAGTGTTTAGATAAAATTGATATAAATATGCACCTTCCTTTACTCCATAGATGTGTCAGTAAAAAGCTCTTAGAAATTACAGTTGTATACATTTAAATCGCATTGAACTATATTAGAGACACTACCAGAAGGAAAAGGAATTCTCTGCCTTGTATAAGAGGGAGGAACTGATCCTTATGAAGTTATGACAATTGCTTGGTTTATGAAAGAACATAATATTTCCCTAGGTTATTATATTGGGAACTATGGTAAACAGAAATTAGAGTTCTGTATCCTTAAGGTAAATTCACCTTGTTACTTCATCAACTGAGTAGCTGTTGTTTGTAAGCAGCAGTGATTTAAAGGGAATCTTTTAGAGGGAATGCTTTGAAGGAACAACAAAGTAGGCTTATTTGTCTTCATATGTATATTCTGAATGAAATGAAATAAAATTGAAACTGAGATTGGATTTTTTAGGATCAAAAAGTATGAGTACAAATTCATACTTGGAAACAATTGATGTGAATCTTTTATATTATGGACTACATTTAGTGTATTTATTTTCCGCTGTAAAAAAATGAAAAACATTGGCAGACTATTGCATATACAAAGTTAAAATTTCGTGTACATTTAATTTTGACATGTAACAGCAGTATACTGTCTTATAGGCACTAATTACATAAGTGCTGGTCACACATTTCTATACAAATTTAAGCAAATACTTAATTACCTTATTACAATGAACTAAGGTTTGAGGCCAGAATCTGAAAACTGGCTTTATTTGCAGGTAGATGTTTGGAAAGTTTATAAACTTTTTTGGGGCAGTGAAAGCTATTTGCTACATTGAAATAAGTTCTTTAGTACATTAAGTATTTTTAGAATTAAAATAATTCCAAAGATGTTTTCATTTACAAACTTCAAGAAGTGTGCTCACCAGGTAGATGATTAAGTATTGTTTACATTGAATATAATCTTGCATAAGTAAATATGAGATATTTGACTTTGTAGCTGGACAAATAATATTTGGACAGTAGTTCAGAATAATCATCCTTTTTCAACTTTTGTGAATACTCCAGTGTTTTAAGAGTGATACATTATTATTTAAATTTTTTTACCATATTTTACAGAATATATATATCACAGAACCATTATTATACTTTGGGAATTGATATCCTAAAACAATAATATTTTTCAGCTTGGTAGTGTATCATTTAACTAGCTATAACCCAAATTATAAAAAACAATCTTAATGATTGGGTCAGTGCCCTTGAAAAATTAATTCATTATCAAGAATGTTCCTAATATTTGGTAGCAGTAGACCCCCACCTTCTTTCTTACTAAAATCCTGTGTGTGTGTGTGTGTGTGTGAACTTAATTTTTTAAAAAATCATTTTCAGTGCTTGGTCTGTATATGTTTGATATTAGAGTGTTATATATTGACAGTATCTGACACTTCAGTGGTGTACATTTAATGGGTTTTTCTTTTTCTTTCAGGAATTGATGCCAACATAAAGGATAGCTTAGGTAGAACTGTCTTAGACATTCTGAAAGAACATCCATCTCAGAAATCTCTCCAGATTGCAACACTCTTACAAGGTAAACAATATTGAATGATGGATGAGTTTGTCTTAAAGTTAAGATTAAATTAAATCTACCATTGTTTTCTCTTGAGTTTTGAGTTAATGTTTACTTTGGGTGAACTTATTATTTACATTTTTTTTCTGGTACACTTAAACTGAATAATAATTTTTAATATTTCATTTCTATTTTCAACTAATGAGTATTTTCACTTGATATTAAAAAATCTTTTAAATCTATATAGTAAATATGTAGTTATGAACTTGAAGGTAATAAGGCTATAAAGTGATGATGATCTTACATTTGAATAATTCTTAAAGGGTTTTCAGGAATTTTCTCTTATTTTGTTTGATTTCTATAACTTCATGAGGTAGGTAAATCTGATATCATTATTCTCCTTTTTGCACATGAGGGAAACTGAAGCTCTGAGAGGCTGACTTGCTCAAACTCATATATCCTATTTTAAGTGGTAGACCTGGTACATAAATACTGGTTTAACAACAACAAAAAAATTGTACTTAGCTAGAAGAATACAGATTATTTCTTCCTTAATCCAGTAGTACAAGATAATTCAGTCTTGCAAGCCTTTGTTTTTTGGTAAAGGTCACTTAAGTACCTGTGTAATTAGGTGCAGGCATTTAGGTCTACTGAAGGTTTGGGAACCATTTAGGTACTAATTTTTCATTTGCAGGATTATATATTTCCCTGTTCGATCTAAAAATTTTAATGAAGGGGCGCCTGGGTGGCTCAGTCAGTTAAGCAGCTGCCTTCGGCTCAGGTCATGATCCCAGGGTCCTGGGATCGAGCCCCACATCGGGCTCCCTGCTCGGCAGGAAGCCTGCTTCTCCCTCTCCCACTCCCCCTGCTTGTGTTCCCTCTCTCGCTGCATCTCTCTCTGTCAAATAAATAAATAAAATCTTTAAAAAAATAATAAAAAATAAAAAAAAATAAAAATTTTAATGAAAATTTAGATTTAAATACTTTCCCTTTTTGCTTCATGATTAGGCCTGACATGTAGTATGTTCCCTTAAAAATCCAGACATTCATTCTCTCCTTTCCAGGTAGCTTCTACACTGGTCAGCAGTGATTATCCCCTGATTATTGCAGATGGGTGGCAAGTGTAATAGGGAAGGGAGGTGGGATGGTTTCCTTGGTTATTAGTTGGGAAGCTGAAGAACAGCTTTGTCCTGCAGGAGATAAATGAATTAAAACCAAGTCGGTCAGGTGATGCATAGATACAGGAGTCAACAAAAACCAAAGAGGGGTAAAAAGAATAGATGAGCTACAAGAGGTCATTCATGCTCTCTTCTCTCTTTATTTTCAAAACTTCTCAGGGAACACGAAGTTCAGTCCCCTACAATTATCTTGTTAATAAGTTAATTGCAGTCAAGTGCATATAGAGCTAGAGAATACAAGAGTGGCTCTTCACATTCAAATTAAAATCAAGTTGAATGAAAGCTAAAAAGGAAAAGAGTGGTATACAACATTTTTGTCTTCTCCCTGTAGGCACTTTATATTTTATATTGAACTTTTATCTCTAACTGAACTTTAAAAAAACAGAGGCTTGTGAATACTGTCTTTTGAGAAAAGCAAAATAAATGTCATCACTAAAAAGAGGGCATGGCATGATTGCATACATTCACTGTATTGATTTGACTGAGATGAAATTGTTATATAGGAGTTAACTATGTTCTCTTAAATGGTTAAGGTTCATTAGGTATGTCACCTTGTGATAGGGTATATGGGACATCTTTGAATTTTTTAGATTGTTGGCAGATTTTAGAATGTGAACGTGTTATCTGTATTCTTTGCATTCCTGGGTCATAAGTCAGTGGTACATTTTAAGTTTTATGAAAAGGTTATTTCACTAAAACCAATTTAGAGTAGATAAAATTACTATTTGTGTCCTGGAGGAAGAATTCACTTTACGTAATGACTGTATTTGGGTCAAAAATTTTAAGGATAGACTTCCATAGGTTGCTTTCTTTGCCTAGTAGAATTGCCCTTAGGTAGAAACTGGGTGGTATGAAGACACAGTTGGTTGGCATGAGAGCACAGACTTTCTTAGCTAGATTTTAAGAAAAAGATTCCTTCTGAATAAAGACATGTAAGTTAAAGATCCCTCTGAGGGAGAGATCAATTGATATAATCCTTTAGGTGGAGACTACAAACTAGCGAATGCTTTTGGCAGACAGCAGATTTATTTTGTTTAGATTACATATTTTAGGCCTGCACTGTGTTTCCATAAACATTGAATTAGCTTTCAACATTTAAAAATCTTAGGATTTCAGCTAAAATTTCAGAGTTTTGGTTTCTCAAAAAATGTAGGCTTTTATTTTACTTTACTGTTGAACTTTAGGTGGGGCATCTACTCTCTGGTTAATCATGCTCCACATGCTTTCTGTTTTCTCTATGATATTGAGGCTGAATATTCGTTGACATTTATCCCTGCATTCAGATGCCGTTTTCCTTATGCTTAAGAGAAAAGTGAGATGTTTTCTTATACCATGTCTATCTGGCTGTGCCACTTATTAGCTGTATGAGTATGGTCAACTTAAAATCTTTCTCTTTGAGTTGTCATCTTTGAAACTGAGATTGTAATAGTGACTGTGTCATAGTTTTGTGAGGATCAAGTGAGTTAACTTATTTTATTTTTAAGATTTTATTTATTTATTTGACAGACAGAGACACAGTGAGAGAGGAACACAAGCAGGGGGAGTGGAAGAGGGAGAAGCAGGCTTCCCGCCAAGCAGGGAGCCCGATGCGGGGCTCGATCCCAGGACGCTGGGATCATGACCTGAGCTGAAGGCAGGCGCTTAACGAATGAGCCACCCAGGCGCCCCAAGTTAACTTATTTTAAATACTTAGAACACTTCTGGGTGCATAGTAAGCCATATTTAAGTTTTAGCTGCTATTACTATAACTATGTCTTCATCAAAATTGGAGAAATGAGAGATAGGCTGCGCGGAACATTACTTCAAGAAAGAGAATGAACATTATTTCTCTGTGGAAATAAAGTTTAATATGCAATTATGCTTATATTACAAGAGTAAACACCATTATAACATAAATTTCACTCATTTATGTTACCTGACTGGTTGTTGAATTTGATATCCCTGTTTAGGTATCAAGTCTATTCAAAGCATCTTTCAGAGGGTTTTAAATCCTCAGGTAAAATATATTTAAGGAAGTTAAGGATGTTATTATGTCTTTAACAGATGAATTTATTTTTAAGGAAAGAATGTGACCAGTTTAATTTTCATAAAAAGGGTTTATGAGTCTCTTCTTAAGTATTTTTTATGTTTTAATTAAAAAGATTTAATAGTTCATCATGAAATTATTTCAGTTTGTTTGGTTTTTTGAAGTTCTTTTAAAAACTTAGGATATATTTAGGATTTGAGGAAATAAATGAAAAACTGATCACCAGAAATAAAACATAAAGTTTAGTTATTGATTTTAAAGTAAATGAATTTGACTATGTAATTTCAAAAACTTGTATACACAGAATATTTGGAAGGTGTGGGAAGATCAGCAGTCCCTGAAGAGCATGTACAAGAAGATACAACACAAGAAATACATATTTCATCTCCTGTTGAGTCTCCTTCCCAAAAGACTAAGAGTGAGTAGTTAATTATAAAGACCTTGAAATAGTACTAGACATTTATGTACAAATTTGTCCTATATGTACAAAAAGGCTAACACTTGTAAAAATTTCAGGTCTAATAAGTTGTATCTTATACTGTATATTTTATCCATTTATTCAGCCAGCATTTTTCTTTTAAGAGAGGGAGACGGTGGGGGCAGGAAGAGAGAATCTTAAGCAGGCTCCATACCCAGCGAAGAGCCAACACGGGAGTTTGACAGTCATCATAGGGCTCAGTCTCACAACCCTAAAGCCATGACCTGAGCCGAAATGAAGATTCGGACACTTAACTGACTGAGCCACCTAGGCACCCATTCAGTCAGCATTTATTGAGCTCTTCTATTTGCCAGACCCTTCTCTTGGCCCTACCATTGTAGTGAGCAAAATTAGCAATCCCTGCTGTCATGAAGTTTACATGGAGTGGATATTTCACAGTAGATTTTTTTTCCCCTAAAATTAATTAATTTACTTATTTGAGAGTATGAGAGCATGTGTGAGTGGAGGGAGGGGCAGAGGGAGAGAGAATCTCAAGCAGACTCCCCACAGAGTGCAGAGCCCAGCATGGGGGCTTAATGCTCATCACAGGACTCCATGCCAGGACGCTGAGAACATGACCTGAGCTGAAATCAAGAGTCAGGCAACTGAGACATCCAGGTGCCCCTTTCTAAAATGTATTTTTAATGCAGAATAAAAATATTGATATTTGGATTATAACTGCTGGAGTTTTATTTTTTCCCCAGAAGAAATTACAGGTATAAGGTACCTTTCTGAAAATGATTAGAAAAATGCGTATTTGCATGCAGCCTACAAAATACTCATATTTTGACAGATGATGCATATTATTTATCTGTTCTTCAGTGTTCTTCCTTTATGTCACATAGCACAATTCTAATTTATTACGTACGTAATTATTTTTCAAAATACATTCTACTATTTCTTTTTATTGAACCTAGGAAGTAGGCTTCCAGTACCATTTAAAATTTGTTAATGAGTTGTTGAATGAATTCTGTCCGTGAACTATAATGCCGGTGAAAGATTGTTGAAGATTAAATGTTACAATGGATGAAGGCTTAGGAATTGTAATTCCAGATGCTTTTATGTACTACCTATCTATAAACCTTCAATACTTATTTCTATTTTGAATAAGAGTAATAATAGGCAAAATTGGGATTTCTCCTTGTCTTTTAATATTCTTGAACTTATTATAGTTTAGTACCTTGCTTTTAACAGAATATTTTCTGACTTACTAAATCTTGTTTGTCATAGTCTGACTTCTGTTACCATACTAGTCATATTTTTATTAGTTAATAGGAAGTTTTAGCAATAGCCTTTCTTGAAACTTTGAAAAAAATTACTGTCTTACTCTCTTACAGGTGAAACTGTGACTGGAGAATTATCAAAACTCTTGGATGAAATAAAACTCTGTCAAGAAAAGGATTATTCTTTTGAAGATTTGTGCCACACAATATCAGACCACTACTTAGATAATTTGAGCAAGATTTCAGAGGAAGAACTTGGGAAAAATGGAAGCCAGAGTGTAGTAAGTAAGGGGGGAAGGAAGACAGTGCGTCTGTCTTTGCCAACTCAATGTGTATCTGAGAGGCATGGGATTTGTGCATTATCCTATCTTCAGATTCTTCCAGTGTCAAATGTCAGATTCCCTATTGCTCTTTTTCTGATGTTCATTGGTGTTTTACTCTCACTGCATGTGTAGGGGAAGGAATGCTTTGATAAATCACTTATAGTTTGTGATGATCTTGCTACTGTTGATTTGCCTAAGAAATCATAATTTCTTTGATTATGTTCTTTTAGTTTTACTGGGCATGATGATACTGGTTTCCAAAGGAAGAAAAAAAAAATCTTCCTTTTGTCTTTGTTTCCCCTTTTTCTCTATGGACTGAGTCTACCCCATCTTAAAGAAAGATGGAGCTGGGCTATGTGTGTATGTTCCCCAGTCACTTTGTATGTTATGGTAGGGGAGAGACATTGTAGAAAGTTTGACCTCCATATTTTTATAATGTTATGCAAATCCCTTAGGCAACCTACAAGCTCAGAATCTAAATCATGAGTTAGAGATTCTTGCTCATTTAGATTTTTATATTAACACAATAGCAAAACAAAAACAAAAACAAAAAAACACAAAAAACCAAAACCTGTAAAGAATCAATCAGTTTAAAATTAGTATTTGTATATCTCTTTTATGTCAGGTAGAGGTAGGATTTATAGGGTGCACTGGTATTAAAGGAAATGCAGTATTATAACATGAAATCTTTACTCACTTTTAGAACTTAATTTGTTATAGAAACATGCTTTCTTCAAAAGCTAATAAGAGTGGATTGTGTTAAGTATGTCATATTATTTATGAAAACTAAAAAGTAATTGCCAAGTATAGTGACTATTATGAGAATGTTTACTTCATTTAGTTCCTTAATGTGCAACTTGTTTCCCAGGATAGTGCTTGCTAGTCTAGCTCCATGGCTAGTCTTACTCCCTAGGCTGTCTTTGTTATTTTTTTTATTTTTATTTTTGCTGCAATATCTTTTTTAAAGCATCATATTATTGGCCCCAATAAAAGCTCTTTATGAATAATTATGATTAATTATATATACATATGAGTTTTAACCAAATGAAATTTTTATATTAATGAAATATTTACTGTAATGACTTTAATATCAGAACAAAATTTCCTGTTTAAAAATCTTAAACAGTTTTATGTCATCTCCAAATTACAAACCAATTACAATTCAACATTTCCTTGAAGGTTGGTTACAAATCAAAACATATTTATCCTACATAAATAATACATGGTGTTTAGATTTTTAGGTCTGTCCCTAAAGATTTCTCTAAACTGACGGCTTCTGGCCCTCTACTTCTAAGCCCACAGATTTTCTGAAAGCCCTAATTTTCTAGACCAGTGGTTTATAAACTTTTTTTGTTGTGTGTAGCATAGTAAACAAATTTTAAGCAAACATCCTAAGTGCATGTGTTTATAAATTACATATATCTACTATTCTAAGAATGTATGATGTAAATTAGGTACATACTACAAGAGACATTCAAATAAGAAGGATAAAGAATAAGTGTAAATAGAAGCTCTATCTTTTTTTTCCTTTTAGTCAGTGGGTATCTTGTGCACTTTGTTTGGGGTCTGCACACTTTACTTGGCGACTGTGCTTACTCAAGCTTACAGATTTCAGGTAGTGATAGCAGAGGTTTTTTATATTATGAGGGTGACATAATTTGGGGGAAATGATGGCCAAAGGTTGTTTCTTTATAAGTCAAAGACTGTATTGTGATAGTAGCAAGAGAGAAATTAATGTTCATAAATTGAACTGAATTTCTTAAAATTCAAGCTTATCCTTTCATAAAATCAGTCTTTGTTCCTGTGACAAATTTTATATTGTGTTCCTTGAAAATATTGTCATATTAAATAATAAAGGTTATATGAGGCAGAAAAGCAGAGGGTACATATAAGTAAGGACAGGTAGTTCAATTTTTCTGGAATAATAGAGTTTATAAAGCAGAAAGATTATGAAATAAAATTAGAAGAATAGGTTGAGGTCAGGCCATGGATGATTTTGAATGTCAGGATAAGAGTTTTAGTATTTATTTTTTAGAAAATGAGAAAAATCTAAAGGATTTTGAGGAGATAAAAGACATCATTGGAAGTGCCCTTTCAGAAGATTAATAGAAACTTGTTATTGAATGTTTAAAAAGTAATCGAATTACTTTGATCCTTCTCTGTAGCCTGTGTTTTATTTGGGTTCATTCGCTTTTGTTGACTATTTCTGTTCATCAAAAATGTTCCTTCAGAGTTTTGTTATGAATTATACTCTCAAGTTAGGCAAAAATTTAATCAAGTACTTATAGATCACCTAATATAGATGTTTGTTACCATGTTGTAAATCACAGGATTTATAATAGCAGTTCCTGACTTGAAAGAGTTCAAAATTCTTATTAGAAGAAGGCTTTAGTCACAGTGTACAGACAAGACTAACATATAAAACAACAGATACATAAGAGCTGACATTTATTAGTTGCTTGCTATTCTAATGCTTTATATGATTTAAGCTGCTTAATCTTCATAGTAATCCTACGAGTGGATTTATAGACTTGGGAAATGACTCAGCTGGCAAGTGGCAGATCTAGGATTCAAACTCAGAGCCAATGTCCTTAATTCCCAGCTACATTTCTCATAATAAATTACCTGGTGGCCAAAGGAATTTTTAAAAAGGGAGAGATTAGTGAAGACTCATTGGTATTCATTGAAGGCTTCATGGAGGTAGGGAGAGACTAAACTGGGCCGTGAGGGGAGAAGGAGATGTCCCTTGTATTTGTTTTAGAATAAATGGATGAATGAATGAATGAATGAGTGAATGGGAGAGGATTCCAGCTTGTAGAAACAGTATGTGCAAAAGCACAGAGGTGAGACATAGCGTATAATTTGAGAATAATGGTTTATCATGAGAGTTGATCTTGGAGAGTAGTGGGAAACAAATTTGGGTAAGTAACGATAATACCTAACACTTATGGAGCACTTTGTTTATATTAACTGATTTAATCTTCACAATAACCCTGACTAGGTGGTATTATTCCCCGTTTTACAGATGAGAAAATGGAGGCACAGAGAACTTTTATGATTTTCCCACATTTATGCGGTAATTGCCAGAGCCAGGATCTGAACACATGTAGTCTCGGGCTGGTGCCGTATTCATTACCACTCAGCTATTTTGTTAAGGGCAGATAATTAGATTTGGGAACCTAGTCAGAAGTTTAATATTGATGGTGAGGAGAATAAACTCTTGAGGAGGGGAGTTCTGTCTTGAAGGTGACATTTTGGGAAGATAAAAATGGTAACTGTAGTCAGATGTTCTGGAAGAGCTTTTTGATTCTTAGCAATGGTAATATGTTAGACATATTTGGAGAGGCTTCAAAAAATACTGATACCTACAGGTACCATGTCCTGACCAACTAGACGAACTAAATCAGAATTGTTTGGGGTGGCCCTGAGCCTCATTCTTTTAGAAAGCTAATATGCACACGGTTGGTCTAGAGGACTAAAAATCTGCCAGGGCGGGACGCCTGGGTGGCTCAGTCGGTTGAGCGTCTGCCTTCGGCTCAGGTCATGATCCCAGGGTCCTGGGATCGAGTCCCACATCGGGCTCCCTGCTCCGCGGGGAGCCTGCTTCTCCCTCTGCCTCTGTCTCTCTCTCTGTCTCTCATGAATAAATAAGTAAAATCTTTAAAAAAAAAAAAATCTGCTAGGGCCTTACTGAGGTAATGTAGACCTGAGATGCTGAGTCAGAACTGAAGTCTTGATAACACCACAAAATTACACAATTTTAGAGCTAGAATAAATCTCCTAATGGGTCTTCGAGTATCCAGCCTAATTCTCCCACTCCCGTGTAAGAGTGTCTAAAAAAAATCTCTTGAGTTAGAGACATTTTCAGTTTATCATCAAAGAAAATTCCCAGTGTAGTCCTAAATTAAAATTATTTCTATATTACATTGGAATATTAAATGTGGAGTAATATTTTTGCTTATTCACATTATTGGCTGAAGGATGGGCATTTGGGTTTGGTTGAAATACCCATCTTGTTCATCATAATATGACAAATAATTCCAAAAGTAATTTAGAAGAAATCAAAATGTAAGGAAAATATGTTTTGTAGATTTATGTTATTAATAAATGTATTTTCCATATTAATGATGTGCCTTGAATTTTGGGGGTATTTTAACTATTCTTAGTTCCGTTTAGCTTTCATTGCCTTTTTTCTTCCAATAGAGGGCACTCTAATTCAGTAATTTAAAATACAAAATCAGCTGTCTTATGTAAGAACTTTTACTTTTGAATTAGAGGTTTCTGGTTTTATTAAAATATTAGCCTTAGGTAGTAGCTTGAACAATTTTACTAATATAAGTGAATTAAAAATTAAATTCTTATTATGATTGAATGTATTCTATTGGAGTTTTTACATTTAATGTGAAGGCTAGCTCCAGTTAAAATTACATTTTCCCTTGCATAAATTTTAATTCAAAAGTTAGTCTAAGTGCTTTTATAATATGCATATGGAGCCATTTTCTAAGTTGAATTAGGACATTATATAATCTAGAATGTAAATTTTGAAGAAATATAAATATCTTTACATTCTTTAGCAACCCATGAAATTTAGAATTTTGAAAGAATATAAAATAATCTGAAAAAATGTTCTGTTCTCTTAATTTATTTTCCCAGGTCATATATTCAGTTTCTTCCTCCATGTGTATAAACAATGTGCAAAACTCTGCAATGTGAATACATATACCATAGGGAAATTTGATTATAACATCAAGATTATTAGAGCAGACTTCAGAATCTAGGTTTCAGGAAAGCTTTTTTTTTAAAGATATGAAGTAGAAAAAGCATTATTGCCTCATTAGCTTATGTCTCTAAGAAATAAATAGGAGGCTTCAGGTATGAAATGCGTTATATGTTTCTTCTCCTAAGGGAAACCTGGATATAAGTAGTATATAAGACTTACTGTTTGAAAGGGATTGTGT